AAAAAAAAAAAAAAAAAAAAAAAAAAAAAAAAAAAAAAAAAAAAAAAAAAAAAAAAAAAAAAGTGTAATTTGGAGTAATTTTCATAAATAATATATTTTTATTTAAGTTTTAAAAAGAATATATGCAATAAATAATCTTATTAAAAAATTATTTAGATTTGCAGGTATGTACCAACCCTAATAATAGTTTGGATTTGATGCATTGACTAAACTGAGAAGTATGTTTCTAAAGAGACTTTTCACGCCCATTGTTTCTTTTTTTGTTTAAAAAATCAGATTTATTTATTTTATTTTTCGACTCAGAACATAGTTGAGTTATATTTTACATAAAAATAAAATAAAAATACTTTTAAATTTTTTATTTTATCTAACCTCATAATTTTCAAATTCTTCAACGATATATATAAATTTAAAAAAAAAAAAAATCTTGAGAATTTAAAAAAGAAGTTCAAAACCCTCTCACCATCAATTTTGTATTTCAAAAATATTTTAAACTCTCACACAAATTTTAAACATATCTTTAAAAATAATATTCTATTTAAAAAAAAAAACATTAATATTCTTACCAATTTTAAAAAATATTTTAATTTTTTTTAAAAATCTTAATAACACATTAAAAAAACTCAATTCTACCTTTGGGAAGTACTCTGTGAATTTTAAATGTTTTTTAAACTAAATTTTACAATAAAATAAAAAAATAATAATAATAATATTTTGTAAAGTTGTAAATGCTTTTTTTAAATACTATTAAAAGTTTTAAGTAAATTTTTTTAAATAAAATACCAAATGTTTCCAGCTCACAGTAAAATTATTTTTTAGAATTTATTTATTTATTTATTTAACATATTATTGAAATTTTTGTTATTTTATTTTTATTAATTTAGCCATTTTATCCTTTATACTATATATATATATTTTAAAATTATAGATAAACTGTCCATTTATACATTTAAATGTCACACTACTATAGTTGTCTAGAATCGAGTTTCTAGTTTAGGGTAATTATAAGTGCGCGAGTTAATTACGTGCCACCTAAATGAAGTGGAGAGGTATAGGGCTTGCATTTTTAGTGATGATCATTTAATTGTAATAAATTTGATTTAATGACATCGGTGATTAAGTCAAACAGAAACACATCAATTTATTATTTTGTAAGTAAACAAATAGATATGGTATTATATAAATTTAAGACTTTAAAGTCATATAGTCTGAATTGAAACAACACCAATTTTATTTTACTAATGTACCCTTCATTTATTATTATTAATTACACAAAACGACATAGTTTAGTCAATATTGTACGATACGTTGACAAATTCAACCAAATATACAATTTCATTTAAATACCATATATTTAACCAAATAATGGCGTCCCCACCTGATTCTTTTGATCAAGTTGGAGATAATTCAATGAATATTTATTATCTTTTGGTAATAAAAACCCGTATTTATATATAAACAAATAATAACAAATTCAACTTTTTTTAGTTAATTTAAATACATTTCAAATATTAAAAATTTGATCAATCAAACAATAAACACGTTATTTTCATATTGTTTCAAAATATTTTATTTAAATCTTAAAATTAAAAGCGAGACATAAATAATAATAATAATAATTAATAATGTTCATAAACTAAATTGATTAATGGAAACTCTAGAAACTATTAATTTTAAAAATAATAAGTCAAAATAAATTATATTTAAAACTAAATAGTTGAGCAATAAAAGCATGGATAAATACATATTACGTTATTGCCACGTGGAACTATTTGATTGGGCCACCTAGCAGAATGCAAATCTATTGGTGGAGAGGATATTTTAATTTATAAAAGAAAAAAAAGAGAGAGGAAAAAAAAAAGAAGAGCGTGAGAAGGTAAATACAGTAATGTTATTCGTTGCGGCTGTGACCGTTGTCCCACGCAGGAAGAGTGGAAGGCGATCCGTGAATGAACAAAATTATAGTTAATTACTGTGAGTTACAGCATAAGGACCACCCAATCAGAAAGCGTCTTGGAGATTTCCGATTTGGCCGTGACCATTGAAACGCCACAGCCATGTGACTTTCAACGCCTCGGGCTTCCAAGGATAAGACTATAAAAAGGAGAGGCAGTCAAATTGCTCGCAAACTGGTGCGGGCGGGTTCAACACCAGAGAGCTCAGCCAAGGCTCTCACACCCACAACGGGGAACCAAACCAACCTCTTCTCCTTTCCCTAATTTCTCAAATGACCAATTACTCTCACTCTCATATCTGCCAGTGCCTCAGCCGCATAGCCACCGCACACCGAGCTTCTTCGCTCACCATTGCCGGCAACAGACGCCAGACCGGCGAGCAGTTCGTCAACAGTGTTTTGGCGCTCGCCCGAGGCTTGCTTGATCTCGGCCTCCTTCCGGGAGACGTTGTTGTTATCTCTGCTTCCAACAGGTTTTTTTTTTCCAGCTTTCAGTTCGTAATTGTTTTCAATTTTTACTGAACGACGTATGTTGGATTCCTAATTGGTAACTGAAAACAAAGGTCGTGTTTTGGATTTTAGACGTTGGAATTGTAACTTTGAGTTTTCTAGCTGGCAGTGATTGGTACTTGGAGTGGTTGCTTGCGGTTGCATTTGTTGGCGGCATTGCTGCTCCTCTGAATTACCGATGGGTATGTCAAATTTTCTTTGTGTTGAATGTAAGAATGGTTCATGTGAAAGTACAAGGGTAATGCATATAGATAAATAATGGATTTCAGCGTGCATTCCTGCTTTTGTATTTGAAAGTCATGTAGGCATATCTACTTGCATGCATGCATTTCTGTATGTAGAAGAATTGTGGGCTATACATCTATTGGTACTCGGTTTTGAAGGATCTTTAAGGCGACGAGTTGCTGTTCTTAAGGTGGTGATTAATGAACGTGCTAGATGTGTATAATTGTGTTGACGTCTTCTAGAGATGATACTTTTTGTCTTCTAATGAGGACAGGTTGCAAACAGGAAGCTTTGTTAATTTTTAGGAACGATATTTGTTATTTAGATTTATAAATTTGAACAGTGGCACCAAATAAAATGAGCATTAGCCTACTTGAGTCTGAACTTGAAAATTAGTACCACCAGTCATGCAAATTGTTTTTCGGTTGAGCAGATCTTGCTGTAACTGGCATGCGTGAAACACATTTTTTTCAACGTGTAGAGCTTTGAAGAGGCAATATCTGCAATGGTAGCCGTGCAGCCAGTGATGTTGGTCATTGATGAGAGCTGTTGTCAGTGGTATTCAAAACTTCGGAACACTGACATACCTTCCTTGAGATGGCAGGTCTTAATTGGTTCCCATCGACCGGGTTATGATAAAACAAGGGGAGGTGTGTAGTTTACTTGGTTTTACCATACAAAGCAAACTAGAAGGAACCTCTATGTTATTTCAATTTTCTGTTTCGTTCTTCTATGATTTTATCAATCTTTCTAAAGCAAGCAACTTCACCTTGCCAGCCTTGACCACTGAAGAATTGAAGAAGTATCATGTAGTAAGCCTACCACTGGATTTCCTCCATGCACCTGAAGATGCAGCTCTAATATGCTTTACTTCCGGTTTGTGTTTTGCTCAACCTCAACTTCACTTTCTTTTTATGTACCCAAAATCCATATTTGGGGTGCAAGTTGGAGCATTATGAGACTCTGGTTGAAATACCACTGAGCGCCAAAGTTGTCAACACTCCTTCAAGAGTTCATGTTTTGTAGCGAGAACTGCATTTTTTTAGTAGTTTTGTTCTCATGAAGCATTTTAAAGGAGACGAGGACTTTTCTTGTAGTCATTGAAATATTAACTTCAGTGTGGTGTTGTCTGAAGCTTAGAGTTCATCCACTAAGTTTAGAACTCCCTGATCTATTTTGCTTGTTATATTCTTTGTAGGAACAACGGGAAGGCCAAAGGGAGTTGTTATCACGCATTCGGCTCTGATTGTGCAGACCCTTGCAAAAGTTGCTAATGTTGGTTATAGTGAGGATGATGTATGCTTTTCTGTAATATATGAAGGTTCTATTCACTAGGTTTAAAGATACGAAGTCTTAGTATATTCCTTGAAGGGCATTCAGTGGTTCAATTCTAGAGCTCAAGTAGTTCAAGCAAAATGACTCCTGACGGTTTCAAGTGTCGCATTTTCAGGTTTATTTACATACTGCTCCTTTGTGTCACATTGGTGGTTTGTCATCAGCCATTGCCATGCTAATGCTTGGAGCTCGCCATATATTAATACCTAAGTTTGAGGTTAAGTCTGCTGTTGAAGCAATAGATCTATACGGTGTGACTTCTTTAATCACTGTCCCCGCAATGATGGCTGATTTAGTTTCTTTAATCAGGTGTCTTTATTTGTGCTTTGTTGGACTTGTCCTACTTATCTTAAAAAATTTCTCTCGTTGATGAAGTTTGTTTGATTTACAAGAATTCTTCTCTTTCGAGAAAGATAAAGAGAAATTATTCTTGTAAGAAGATGTATTCATGGTCATTCTCTTGAAATGCATTTGTAATATGAATTATTTAATCAAAACTAAGGAAAATTTAGTGATCAGAGGGAGTATATTTTCCTATTTAATTATATCTCATTGTGTTGTTTTCTGGAAAAGAAAATGAATTTTTGTTTATCTGTTCTTAAAATTTTCTTTGTACAAATCCACCACATTGCAAAATCCATGAGGTGATGTTTCTCTTAGTTCGATTGTCTACACTTTTTCTCGAACTGTCTACTCTGAAGCTTTGTTTTATTCTCCGTTTAAAACTGGCATGGTATGCTTATGGTTTTCAAGGTGTCAACTTTCTCACTTAGCTCTTTGAAAGATGTTACAGGGAAAGAGATAATGGCAAAAGAAGAGAAAGTGTGAAGAAGATATTAAATGGAGGTGGGGGGCTTCCGTTAGAGCTAATCAAAGACGCCATGAAATTTTTTCCCAGAGCTAAGCTTGTATCAGCCTATGGTCAGCCTCATACACCCTGATAGTTTTCTCTTGTGAGCAAATAATATTAGTGATTTGATTAAATTTCACATCTTTGTTTTGTTGGAACAATTTTAAAACATAGTGTTTCCTTTATTAGGAAATGACTTTTTGTACATGAATCTTGGACCCTTGGAAATATTTACTTTTTGTTCCAAAAGTTTGAAATATTTTACTCGCTGTTGTTTTAACTGTTGTTGGGTCATCTAATTGCATAGAGTAGATTATTATTCCAATCATTATATTTTTGAAGAATGTGACAAATTAATACTATTCTTTTAATCATCCCGTCTTGGCAAGTAATATGGTTGTATATCAGATTCTTCTGTCTGTCAATATATTTGCGAGGGGCTTGCATAGGAATAAAGATTTTACGCCCGGCTTAAGATCAAGGAGGCTGATTTTGAATTTGTTTGCAATAATCTTCCTCCAAAGAGCGGAATATTTCACATTTTTGTATAACTCTTCTTGGTTGTATTTAGTGAAAAATGAAGTGTTGATCTGGATTTCATTAACTTCTTTTTTTTTTTAAAACCTTTTTAAAGGTTTTTTACATTCTTTTTTTTTTCTTATATCTTATATTTCAGCTTTCTTTTTCTTGTCCGTCAGGGATGACTGAGACATGCTCATCATTGACCTTCCTGATGCTTTGCGATCCAACGGGAGAAACTTCTATTCCACACTTCCAGAGTTATGCGCAATCAAACTGTCATTCAATATATCAACCAGAGGGTGTTTGTGTTGGCAAACCTGCCCCTCACGTAGAAATGAAAATTTGTTTGGATGATTCTTCTCATGTTGGGAGGATTTTAACCAGAGGACCACATTTAATGCTTAGGTACTACGATAAAATTTCTCCAAGGCCATCAAATGACGTCAATGAAGTTTGGTTTGATACAGGTGATATTGGTTCAATAGACGACAATGGTAATCTGTGGCTTGTTGGACGATCAAATGGCAGAATAAAAAGTGGTGGTGAGAACATTTACCCCGAGGAGGTATCATCATTATTTTTTCTTATCTGGATTGCGTAATTAGAGAGCTTCTAGACATCTCCTAGTATTCCATTACACCACATTTTGGTTTTTAATAAAAATGTTTTTGCATTTAAGTTACTATGAAATTTCTATAGTAGGGCACCCTTTTAATTATGAGCTACATTCAAAATTACCTATGTTTATCTAATCTCTTTCCCATTTGTCTTCACCTAACAATTTTGTTCTGTAGCATTCTTCTTGTCATTGGACAAGAAAACACTGGTGTAAGAAACCAGAACCAATAAATACTCTTTTCCTCCCTGAGAAAAAATTGACAGATATTATACTATATAATTTGAATCTTGATCTCTTACAAAATATTTTTGCAAAGCGTTCTGTCCAGTCTTCCCACTGATGGAAGCAGTTTCATCGCACTGATGGCAGAGCATATACGCAAGCCTAATCATAGAATGGATCTTTTGCCTGTTGGTTTATTTGGCTTGAGAGAAACCTGAAGGATTTTGAAGGTTTAAGGAGGGCATGGGAAGTTATTTGGAATTAGTACATCGGAATGCCTCTCATGAGAATGTAAAGTTGGATTACATATGAAACCAAGCCTTTATTTACAGGCTTTGATCTAGTTACAAATAGTATAAAATAATTAAAGAATCAGAATCACACCACCCTATAGTGCTTAAAATAGTTAACTAGTGGCTTACTTCTAACCTCTACGACGGTTGAACAAAAACGTCAACAGTGAAAAATCCAAAAACAAAACAGTAAACAACAAAGATTGTTTGGTGAGAAATGTAAACACGAGACTACACAAACCTATATCAGTTACTATAGTTCTTACATGATTTCTCTTTGCTTTTGATCGTAAGCAGTCAGAACTCTTTCTGGTAATTTACATTTTCGGAGGCTCCTTCATTAAGTTTCAGCCTGTGTTTTCGTATGTCCTTTCTCTGCTTTCTTTCGTCTGCATGAAAGCAGTTCACTTGGCCCCTCCCCCTCCATTATCAAAAGGAAAAAGAAAAAGAACTACCATTCTAGGGGTTGAGAAGTGCATAATACAATTAGATGGCTTTGTATATCTACTATAGGATATATATATCTTGTTGAAAAATTTCTTGGTTTAATGTTTACCATATTGTTTAGGTGTAAGGGTTGGACAAAGCCAAAGAAAGTTTGGTTAATAAATGGACTTAAACAAATTTAACTATTGCAGGGGCATTTGTCTACTAGTTACACTAATATTGATTCATCTTGTGAAGTAGATTACTCAAATGAGTTTACCACAAATGAGGTCAGATAAGTGACATTAAGATTCGTTGAGCTATGATTTAAATTATTTATTCTGATTGTAAATTATTTTTATCATAATTTCATTGCTCTACAGATATTCAAAAGTCGAGAAGCTTTAATTAATTGGACACGAGAGGTTGGAAAGAGAAATGGATTGGTTATAGTGATAAAGACATCTGATGCAGGCGTGAATGGTAGGAGGCCTAGAATTTCTTTTGGTTGTGAGAGAAGTGGGAGTTATAGACGGTTATCAAAATTGGAAGTTTTAGAAGACAGAGGAGCCCGCAAGCTTACTGGAACCAAAAAATGTGGATGCCCTTTTTTATTGAAAGGACAAAAATTGACCACAGATGGTGATTGGATGGTCAAAGTAGTATGTGGGGTACATAATCACGTAGCAAATAAAAATATGGAAGGACATTCATTTGCAGGGAGGTTATCGCAAGAAGAGAATGAAATCTTGATGAACTTGTCTAACTCATCAGTCCGCCCTAAAGATATATTGAGCACATTGAAGAGTCGAGATGCTCGAAATGCTAGCACAATGAAGACCATATATAATGCTCGTCATCGACAAAAGAGAGTTGAGAAGAAACAAAAACCAGATATGCAACAACTTTTTGGTGAGTTAGCTACATAATACTAATTGAGCTCCAGAATTTTATGAATTGGTTGTTAGAGTGATAGCAAGCTGTGCCTGTGAAATGAGGTCCCATAAATCTCAAGTTGATTTAGGCTCACGAGCTTTGGACAAACTTGTAGGTATGGTTTAGTTGACTTGATAATAGGGTATAGCATTTTATTTATGCTATCTTATTATTTGAAATATTTGATATATATTAACAAGAATGAGTGATAGATTACAGGCTTCTGGCTAGATCATAGGCTTTGTACAACCTAACAAGATGGACACTTACGATCTTAATTAGGCACTCTTTTGGGGTATCTCAGCCCCTTTTTCCATGCTTTCTATTGATTAGGTAACATCTCATTGATTACATTAGTTTCAAAAGGGATGAAAACCTCTATCACCCCCCGCCCCATGCTTCCATGCTCTATCAAAAGTTTGAACAGGAACTCTTCCTATTCATTATGGGGGGGCTGGGCATCAACTCTCAAAAATAGAAACTTTGCTCTATTTATGAAATGGTTTTGGGGGTTGTCTCAAGAAAATGATATCTTTTGGAAGGAGGTGATCGCTAGTATTTATTGGAGAGACCCTTCTAAAGGAAGTAGGAAGGCCTTGGTTCGATATAGTTAAGAATGTTGCATCGTTCTTAAAATTTGCCAGATTTATGGCTAACAATGGGGATCATATCAGATTTTGGAAGGATCGTTGGGTAGGCCAAAGCACCCTAGAACGACTTCCCAGACCTCGTTGCTATTTCTTTGAAGAAAGACTCTACAATTGCTGCTGCTTTGTTGAAATGAAAACCAAAGAGGATGAGACTTGGGTCAGAAAAGTGGACTCTTCGATAGGGAATTACAAAGACGATAGGGAATTACAAACTTGGATTGGGCTGGTGAATCAAATAAGCGAGGGCGGAAGAGGACAGGCTGTTGTGGTCCATAGAGCCCTCGGGCTCTTTCTTCACGAATTCCATTTTTTTTAAAATCGTTTGATATCATATCTTCCTTGGAAATCCCCTTTGAACTTCAGCGGTTTGGAAGCTCCAAAACCCCCAAAAAGTGAAGGTTTTCCTCTGGTCTCTTGCTCATAGAAGCCTAAAGATCCATGTACCCTCGATTTGTAATCTTTGCCTAAATTAGGAGTCGTTATACCACATTTTCATTCCCTGCAGCTTCCTCAAGAAACTGATGACTGGCTGGTGGAAGCCCTTAGTGGCTGGTGTTTAAGAAGGAAAATGAAGATCATATGGGGCTATGCGGCTAGAGCTTTTTTTGTGGAATGTTGGCGGGAAAGAGATCATAGGCTCTTCGAAGATAGGATTACTAACCCCGTTAGTCTTTCTACAGATGTTCTTTTTTGTGTGCCATAGCAACAACAATTTTTTTTCTAACTTCCCTATCTCTTTAATTCTTCATGATTGGAAAAGTTTTTGTATGTAGCCTCTTGGGAGGAGGCGATCCCTTCTTCCTTTCGAACCACAACCTCCGAGCGTAGCAGCCACAACATTGAACCATAAAACCGAAGGTTTCCCACGGAAAGGAGACCCATCCATAACTTGAAGCATTGCATTCTTACCGTCTTTGTGGAATCACCACCGCAACCCAAAGAATTTAGGATCTTGGACCCTCAGCGTCGGCGAAAGAGCATTGAAAGAATAAATGATGATGGTTTTTTCAATCGAATCTAATCATGACACACCACCTAGGGGAAATCATAAGTTTAGGAGATCTCTTTTGGATCTGAACAGAGTTAATATTCCAGTTAAATAAATTTGAACCCTCTGATTTATCCATGTCTTTCCATAAGAAGTCATGCATGAATTTCTCTAATCTTTTAGCTACTAATTTTGGGCATTTGAACCCAGGCTGAGGGTTAGTAAAGAGAAAGTTGAACTCGTACATCATTTTCATAGTCCTATCCTAATTTTATATCTGTATTCAATGTAAGTTCATTTCATTTTCTGTTTATAATACTTGAGTATCACATGAGATCCTAAGAACTCAATTGTGTCTGTGTCCGCCTGCTGAGGTAAAGAAGAATAGGTTTGAGAAAGCTGATAAGATGTTGACACACAAATGGAATGATTGTTGATGTGTGATCACAAATTCATTGAAATTAATTTAAATTTAGTTAATTTTTAGACTATAGTTGTCTTGGTGGTGTAGGTGGAGAGAATTCTATTGCAACATCCCGGAGTTAAAGGCTGTGCTGTGGTGGCCATTCCTGATTCTCGTTTGACAGAGAAGGCTGTGGCTTGTGTTCAATTAGAAGAGGACTGGCAGTGGCATGAAACCAGTCGTGAACTTCTTGATGGAAAGATTAAACAGCATTTATATACCGCAATTCTTCGTAAACATTGCAATGACTGTAACTTAACTGGGTAATTACTCTCTCCACTTCTCTCTTTGATATATTTTTGACTTTGAGCATGCTTTGCCATAATCTACTTTTACTGTTTGAAGGTTCAAGATACCAAAGGAGTTTTTCAAGTGGGGGAAGCCATTTCCAGTCACTACAACGGGAAAGTTGAAAAGAGACGCAATTCGAAATGAGGTAATATCTCAGTTTGGATTACTGCGTAGCACCCTTTGAAATGCAACTGGTGAAGCTGCAAAAGCTAAGTCGAGGGAGAACGCCTTCTGATTATACTTAAATTCATGTTCTTGACATTTAGTTAATGTGATCATTTTTAAATTCTTCCCAAAAGAAATTCCATTAGGAAAGTATAAATAGTTTGTATTTATTGATCTAATAAAGCCCATTATTTCTTTTCCTTGCTGCCATTTACAATATTTTCACAGTTGCAACTTATCATACAATTTTATATGGCGTCTTTGATGGTGATTTAGATGATGAAGATAATTGTGTGTTTTAAATTAGATTACATCAATGAGATGAGTTAAATGGATCATTGAACTTCTAGGTTTGTGTTAAATGGTGATTGAATTTTAAGAAACGTTTACCAACATAAAAGTAAAGTTCTGGAAGGGGAGATTTGAACATTTAATCTCATCTCTTCGACCTTATGTCAGTTGCATGTTTGCACATTTAAATTTATTTTGTACAGTCGAAAAAAAAAGTATAAAAAGAACAATATTTGCTAGCGGTGGATTTAGGCTAATAAATGGAATAAGAGCTAAACAGTGGGCGGTGTGCCAGCGAACACGAGGTGCTGCGCCAGCAAAGATGCTAGGCTTTGAAGCGGGTGAGATCTCACATCGATTGGAGAGGGGAACGGTGAAAACCTCACTTGTGGAGAAACAAAGAGAACAATATCGATTAACGGTGGACTTGAAAAGAGAACATTATCCGTTAATGGTGGACTTGGAACCATTAAAGTCCACCATTAAGAGTTAAAATATGACATACATATGTTGGGAGTGTGATGAGAAGTTAATAAGTCATAGTACAATACATTTGATGGTTGGTGGAGTTGTAAACAAAGAAAATAATGGAAATGCTGCGTCCCACTCCAACTCTCACCACACATCAAAAATATCTGCACACACATTGATTTAGGCACTTATTATTCACTTTTTGGTGTTCTTGCTCTTGTTCTTGGCCTTGGCCTTCTCTGCTCTATCCACTAACCAGTTGAAAATGGTGGCATAAACAATCTCCACATTCTCATTCGCCTCGCCTATCAACTGGTGCCACATTCCTGGATAAACCTTCAACGTCTTGTCCTCACTCGCCGCCGATTCGAACACAAATCTCGCCGACTCGCTGTCGCAAACCACATCGTCTTCCCCGTGAACCATCAACATTGGAACCCTGATTTCATGGCAGTTCATTTTTATGTACTCGCACACTCTGAGAAACTCCAATGCTGTCGCCATTGGTGGCTTTCCTGAAAATCGTCGGTTCGGGTTTTTTGCCACCAATCTCCTCTTCCACTCCTCCTTGTACGACTTGCTTGCGTGGGGCTTTGATACCACCAACCGCAGCCACGGCGCTAAAGACGCTGCAATTGGAAGAAGCTTCTCCAATGGCCAAATCGGTCTGAATTTCGCCGAGATTCCACACATGGAGCCGTTTAACACAATTCCGCTCCAAACCCCCTCTTGCTTCAAGCAAATCAGGATCGAAATCGCACCGCCTAGCGATTCCCCGTACAGAAAAGCAGGGAGGGTAGGATTCTGTTCTCGAACAGAGTCGAAAAACAGAGTACAGTCGAGAACGAGTAGTTCGATGTCTGGGATTGAACCAGGGGCGCCGTCGGATCGGCCATGGCCTTGAAGGTCGAGAGAGCAAACAAGGAACCCAGATTTGGCTATGGCAACGGCAGTGAGCTCAAACATCCAGCCACTGTCAGAGGTGTAGCCATGGACCATGGCGACAACCCCTTTGAGCTCCGAGTCAGAAGCAGGTCGCCATGACTGAGTGAAGATTTTCATCTTCTGGGCATTGAGAATGAAGGTTTCGTGGTGAGTAACATTGTGTTTCTTGTAGAACTCTTCCCTCGTTAGGCCTCCATAGGGACTGTTCTCGTTGGCCTGGTTTATTGGGTGCGCCATTTTCAGGAACTCTTCTCGAGCAAGGATGAAGATAAACTAGAATGAATGAGTGTGAGGAAATGTGTTGCACAAGATATAGAGAATTGAATGGGGCAATGTTGATGGCGTGGGGGCCAAGAACATTATGAAGGGCATAAATACATGGAAGGAGTAGGAATTTTTCTGGAAAATGAAATGAATGGATGTCTGATGAGGTGGCAATTGAAGTAATTCAAAATTTCGGTAACGGCCGTTGGTGGTTTTTAGAAGGCTGAAGTATTTAATTTCCAACTTTGGATATTATATAAGATTTATATATATCTTATTTGAAATAACTGAGATTATTATTAATAATAAATGAAAATGATTATATTTTAACTAGTTATATAATTTTAATATAAATTATAGCCAGCTGTCATTTCATATTTTAGCCAACACACCAAAAAATATTAATTATTCATTATCTCATATTTTAATTATTTTTCTAATTTGTGTTCTTCATTTCCATTTTTCCAGAAGGCTCTGATATGCCCAACTACTATTTAATCATCCTATTTATTTTCATAACATTTGTTAATGAATAAAATAAAGAAGGATTTCGATTCCCACGTGGACCCAGAAACTGGGCCTTTTGATGGACTGGGCTTAGCCCACAAATGTTGTCCACCTGTATTTGGGCCTTTCCTATGCGGCCTTTTGTAGGGATATTATTATATTAATAAAATTTTAAATTAATCGATCTAATTAGAGTTTAATATTAAAATATTAAAATAATTTCTTAATCGATCATGGTAAAAGAAAAAAAAGGAAAAATATCCAAATAGGATCAAATTATGAATCGTGCACACACCTGTTACATCAGTTACCAGAATCTTAATTTACAGTTTAGATGGGGCACATCGTGTAAATACCGACTTTTCGGAGGGCCCAGTTCTTGTCTCTACTTTCCCTCTCCCGCTCAACGATTCCCTCTCTTCCACCTTGCTTTCGTTTTTCCCCTGCAAAACCCTAATTTAGCTTCGCTGATAAACACAAAAGGGCAATTCCAATTATTAGTTCACCATTGGGGGACCCGGGAACATTCTCTTTGTTGTCGTCTTGAGGTTTCCAGAAGCTGTTCACCGTTTATTTCTCCACCACTTCACTTCTGCTCTGCTTCAACAGTAAGTACCAAATGTATTTTTCTTTTTCGGTGTTTTAGCTTTTTTTTTTTCTTTTTGGTATTTGGAGTAGTTTTCTGTGCTCGAGTTGGAGAGACGTAGACGGTTCGACTTGAATTGTTGTTGCTACCTCTTGGTTATCGAGCACTTGCTCAGTTGCCAATGAAGTATTCGGGAAGGGGATGTTTGAAATTTTGGCCAATGTTGATGACGAAAGCCATTTTAGCATCATACCATTCACCCCTTTTCCTCCTCTCTGAAAGTTCGATGTCATTAGAAGAGTAGAGTTTAGTTTCGCGTTCATTCATCTTCCCAGTGATCAGGTTGGGACTCTTCTACGATATGGTTCATTCCCTTCCCATTCGACCATGTTCATTGCATTTTGGTTTAACTCAATAACGCATGAGTTTTCTTGTTTTCCTCATCAGGATACCATTGCAAGTATACAACGATATGGATGCTAATGCGACTTTGGAGGACAACGGTAACATACAGCTAACCGGAAGTGATAAACAAGATGATAATCTGGGTGATGACTTCCTCGAGGATTTTGACTCGTATTGGCAAGACATTAACGACCGGTTGACCATTTCGAGGATGGTAAGTGACTCTGTCATCAAAGTTATGGTAAATGCAGTTTCTCAGGAGGCGCATGAGAAAATCACTCAGAACGAATTGGAGGTGTCTGAATTGAAGGAAATAATACATTCTTACCTCTTGGGTTCTGAGAAGACTAAGTTTATGACGTCTCCATTGAGGTTGTGTAAGCTAAAAAGTACAGAATGTGACAGAATTGACAGCATCTGTGGTGCTTTCTTTGAGCACGATGAAATGAGAGAATCGATGTGCAGCCTAAGGAACACAGCTAAGGAAAACTTCAAGAAACTAAAGAAAGAAATTGATGGAATAAGAGGTTGCAATTCAAGTAGAAAGATCAATTCAGGCTCTGAGTTGGTTGGACTTGGATTGAGTGGTATACTACAAGAAAAAGCATCTTCTAGATATATTGATGTTGGAAAAATAGTTGATGATCTTCAAGATAATTTAGATACTTTCTATAATCAGGTGGAAGATTTAGTTCAATTGTCAAAAGCATCTTTTGGTCAGTGGCAAGTTGAGCAGGAGTACCTAGCAGATATTGAAGGCATGGTGATCAGAAATTATATCTGGAGTATCCAACAAGAGTTCGAGGAGAAATTGTGGGACCAAAATGCTAAAATTTTGAGTAATGAAAGAAAGATATCAGCTGAAAAGATAAAAGAAATTTCAAGTTTACGTCAAGAATTAGATAAAATTTCAAAATCACTATGTCCTTCTGAAGTTGGACATTTGATTTCCTGTAGTTCCATGGATTCTGATCATTCTCACCGGAAGTTATTAAGTAGTCATATGAATCCGTCGACTTTGCATTGGGAAGGAAATTGCAAACATGAAATGTCCAAGACGAACCTTCCTGAGAATGTGGATCCTAGTCGTCTGAATCATATGAAAAAAGATGAATTAATTAATCATTTTAATACTGTGATGACAAAAATGAGTAGAAACCATGAGTCCCAAGTACATGAAATTACCGAAGAAAATTTCACTCTCAAGAGAGAACTTCTGAAAAA